AGCACTTTGTTCTGGCCCTTGTCCCATGCCATCATCAAGAGTCATCGGCATCGGACGCTGCCTGTCAGAGGGAGGCGCCGATTGCTCCATCGCAATGGCACCTCCTTGACTTCCGTGGCTTCCGTGCGCCGTACCCGAGGACTCTTCAGCAGCCGCAGTAAAAACCTGGTCGTACAGCGGCTCCATCACACTCTCGTCCACTCTCACCTCCCGGTGCTGTTCCCCCTCCTCACCCATATCCTCCCCCGCTGGTGGGCCCGCTGCATCTTCACGCAAAACTGGCTCTCCGACCACCCCCGGAGTCCCGTCTCCAGCAGGGCCCCCAGCCTCGCGGTCCATCGCTCACGGACTCACCAACGGCTTACGGTCTCAAAAGGAGACCCGCGTTGGGCTCATAACCCCTGTGAAAGGGGCAGCACACTTTTTGAGATCAAAAGCCTTCAGATGTCACATGTGATCTGTCCTATGCTCACAGAACAACAATGACAATGACAATGTCATGGCATTGTTATTGCTTCTCTTCGAGAGCAGGGCACATAAGTTCATGCAGGTTGAAAGCACACAAATCCGAGAAGACCTGTTCGTTACCCGGTTTTGCGGCTATGCACCGTGCAAATCCAGTGGAGCCCCAAAGCAAAACAAAGTCGGAGCACGTGGGTGCGGAGGGATGTTGCTTCCAAGCCTCTTCTTACACCATGTTTTGCCACATCTTTGGTCCCTCTAAAACCGATTGTGACGCATGACCTTTTCTTGCATCTCACTGCCTGCTTGCAGCTTTACCTGGAAGCTTGGTGAGAGCATCGTGCCAGATGGATTTGGCAACTGCTTGACGTCTTTTCTGATCAGGGCTGTATTCTATGTTGCAGAGCTTTCTGAACAGAGCCTTTACAGTTGAAGGAATGGCTTCGTTTGTGTTTAGAAGTCGCCAGCAAAAGTGTTTGGAGCCCTCCTCTCCTGTTCGCAGTGAGCCAGCATCGTGTATTGACTCGTTTTTGCTTCTGTAGCACAGTTTAGGGTTTAGGGTTTCCATGTTTCTTCAGCAAATTAGCAAGCCGTCCGAGGTCGTTCCAATGGCGGATGGGGCACTTCAGCGGCAGATTAGAAAGGAGGTGGAGCTGCAGCTGCTCTGCCATGAGCACCAGAACATCCTCAAGCTCGTCTCCATGTTCCAGGTTGGCTTGTTGAATGGTGTTGTCTTGAATCGTGTCTTGATTGAGGGCTTGCTACATACCACTTTTCACGTGTACCACAGATAAAATTTAGCATAACCTAGCATAATCAAAGCACACTTCAATATATATATATATACACACACATACACTTCTATACAAGAAGACCATACATACATACATACATACATACATACGTACATACGTGCATACGTGCACACCTGCATACCTACATATCTACCTACCGGCCTGCCCACCTACCCACCTCCCCACCTACCTACCTACCTACCTCCCTCCCTCCCTTCCTACCTACCTACCTACCTACCTACCTACCTACCTACCTACCTACACACATACATACATACCTACACACATACACACATACATCCATACATACATGCATACTTACATCAATTCAATCCAGTTCATTACTTTACATTACATTACATTACATTACGTTACACTACCTATCATATATATATATATAGATAGATATATACATAACATGGATAAACAGATAGATAGGTAGAGAGATCGATAGTTAAGTAGATAGGTAGGTAAAATACTCAATGCAGGCCGACGGCCAGCAGTTCGCCGATGACAGCAGACCTTGCTGGGCCATGGCTCTGTCCCTGGCTGGTCAAGGGGACTTGTTCGATTGGGTGCATTGTGGAGGCACTATGTCGGAGAACTTTGCGGCCAGCATCATGCAGGGTCTGCTGTCCGCTTTGAGACATATACACCTTCAGGGAGTCTGCCACAGAGATGTGAAGCCCGAGAATGTGCTTCTCTCGAACTCGCGCCCCCTTCTATGTGACTTTGGGGTCGCCACCCGCCTCAGCGAAGTGCGGAAGCGCCCGATCCACTGCGGGCCTGCGGGCTTTACAGCGCCCGAGATATTGCTCAATATGGAGCCCACGACCCAGAGTGATGTCTTCAGCGCTGGCTGCGTGTCGCTAAGCTTCCATGGCCCTACAAAGCTGCAGGCGTCTCTCGTCCGTTTCGCAAGTCTCCCAGCGTCGCCAAGTTGCAGCATGTGCATAACAAGCCCAGGCTTTTCTTCATGATTCTGAAGCAGCGGCCTTTCTGTGACCCCGACTTAGCGACGGCCGTCAACAGCGCGTTGACGCGGAAGATCAATCTCGACCAATTCGTCGAACTCCAGGACTCTCACGCATTGAACCTTGGCGCATCCTCTGCGAGAGAGCCGTGAGAAGGTGTATCCTTGTGGGCACTTTTCATGCAAGAGGGTTTCCGAGGAAAGAGTTTCTCTCTGCTTTGATGGAGAGATCACCGCTGCAGCGGCCCGATGCGAATGCCGCACTCGGCTACAGCTTCCTTCAGGACCCTATGGGCTCTCTGACCTACTCTTCTAGATTCCGTTAGTCTGGAAGCCACACAACTCGTCTTTTGCCAAGCGCTGTGATGGCATTTTTCCTCGTCGGCATACCTCTCTATGCATGCTGCATGTGGGCGTCCAGTCGTCTCAAGAGTCGAAGCAGCATGCCCCCCCCGGTCGCAGCCAAGATCCGGCCCCGAAGTGCGCTCTGAGCCTCTGAATTTGTCGACTTGGCAGGCGGCGCTGGCACCACATCCGCCGCCAACCGATCCCACTTCCCGAGCTCATCAGCGCAAGCAGGCGTTTGCAAAGCTGCTCGGAGAGCACGTCGATGTTGTTTTCTAGTCCTTGCTGCATGTGCAGCGATTTCATGTTCAACTCATTCAAGGATGATGACCACCGGGGACAAGCAGGCCAGCTGCAGTGCTGCCTCGAATTCTTGCATGCGGTGCGCCTGCAGGCACCTCCCAGCGACTCAGCCAAGCTGGAGGCCACTCTGCTCAAAGACCAAAAGGAGAAAACCTATACAGCCGTATATACAACCCTATGATTCTCTGGGCAACCCTACACAGCCTTACATACAACCCCATAATTCTCAGCCCT